TATATATATATATATATACACACACAAACAAAATAAAAGATCTTACAGCCAAAAAGCAGTCAATTAGCAGGACGATATACGAAGAACAACCAGTGACTTACAAGTTTAAGCCAAGGGATCCTGGCGAATTTCTCCACAATGTGGAACAGGTAGAGAATGAGAAGAATGCCTGTCAACCAGAAGCCACTCATAGCCACGGTATTGAACCATGCTCCCCGGCTGTGGCTGCTGTATACCGACATCGTTATGGATATAAATCCTAAGAGATTTAGTCCCTGAAAGAAGACCCCAGCGTGATTATCATTCTTGAAAATTCTTCATTGCGCAGTTGAGCAAGCACGCATCGTGCACAAATACAAAGCATTTCACGAGGCTCTTATAACCGTCGTCGTGTGTAAGAAATTCAAGAATCCATTATAACCCGTGACGCAATTGGCCTTATACCAGCCGTTGTAATTCACGATAGACGTGCATTTTGTACACAATGTTCACGCCGTACAATTAACGAGCCGAGCGTGTTCTCCTTTAATTTTCTAGTTCTTGATAATTTTTCGACTAATTAATATTTTTACCTGCAAGCATTTTTCTATATTCAACAGACCTTTAAAGTAAGAAGTTTATATCGCGCAATTTAAGATCTTTCATGTTAAACATTAATCAACTTATGATTCAAAATTTCTTATTAACGAGGCTGAGACTTGTCGAGTAATTCACTTACAAAGCGACTATTAAATACGGAAAGCACTTCTCGTGAATCGCTCGATAAAATTATTGTAAAATTTTACAAGTAAAGAATGAATGTGTGTCGCACTCACCACTTCTGCCAATTTTAACATGCCAGACCATGTTCTAATATACGACTTATCGAACCGTATAGTGGGTTCAGTCGTCATGGTGGTACTCGTCACCGTGGTGGTGGTGGTGTGCTGCCCCGGGAATCCTTGATCCATCCGATTGCTTTAATACTGTAACGTAACAAAAACGACACGTAGTTAGCAATGGATATCTCCACCTGCTTCGCGAGTCGCCGTCATCTGATCTGATACGCATCAGTACGACAATGATACTTTGTAAGGGCGCGTCTCAGGTGGAATAAATGAACAACCGAGCATCGACCGAGTCGCGCGAAGCCAGGGATGAGAAAAGATGGATCTTAAAATAAAGATCCGATGGTATTTGTCAAATACGAAGTGTGTTGAAGTAAATTTGCGATCATCGAGCGAATGCTTGAAAAGTGCTCTTCTCGAACTTTTTGCTATCCAAAGATTTCATCTTGAGAATTATTGTAGATAAATCTAATATAAATAAAAACGTATCAATCTTTAATTTACAATATTTGATATCGGGAAAAGAAAAGATTGAGTGACTGGTATACAATTTATTTCTCTATCAACATGATTTTAATTTGTGATTTAACTTACACTTCATCTTTTCCTATAATTCTAAAAATTAAAAAAAACCAGTCGAAGTTTTTTTTATTGTTCTAGACTTTTAAAAAATGTAAAAAATTCAGGTTTACTTTTTAACATCTCTATTACATTATCAAGTAGTTTCCTTGATTATTTTAGGGAGGAAAACTGAATTCTGCCCTTCTTTATTTCGGAGAAATTTGGAAGTAAAATTTCTTTTATGCCAAAAAAAGACCAAATTATATACAGAGGATTAATCTGTAACATTAGAGGAAACGGGCATTAGACTGACCACTTGAGATGCAAAACTATTTCAGTAGAAAAAAACGTTAAAAAAATGTGCTTATGTAACTTCTGCACTGGAGATGCTCTCGCGCGAACGTCGAAGAAAATAGCATACGCTCTGATATTGACTATCCAGGCTATCGATTATGCCCAAACAGCTTGCTGTCTGTTTATAATTAAACGCATGAGCTGCAGTACAACGCCGTGTTGCACGAATTTGCGTGCCTTAGTATATTTACATCTAGTCGATTGATGACTTCCTTTGCAGGGAACTATTACTCGTCTACTCCTGACAATGACAAACCGATACAGTCAGCTCTATTTCACCGTAAACATTCTTTACATTAACTATACATGCCGTCAAATATTAAATTCTTGTAAATAATTATATTTGTATCTTGTAAATAATAATGTATTGTACTGTAGATAAAAATCTCTGACTGTTTTAATAAGAAAACACAGACATTTCAGGTAATAGAATTTTATATTTTATCTTTTAAAGACTCTCTGTAACACCGATACACTTCATACATCTTACATACAACTTCAAAATATTTTTTAAAGTCCGCAGTTAAAATGCTATTTATAGCAGTTGTTATGTTCTTCTAATGATCTTCGACATCTAATGCTTATTTTTCATGATATTTTTAAATTTTAAAAACAATATGTTAAAAACAACAATTCTTTTGTACAAACCTGTAATCTATAATTAATTAGTCAAAAAAGCTTACTAAGATTAGCCACTCACTTTGTTCGCCGGTTCTTTTCGGTTTTCATGTTGTTCCCGAAGCTCAAAAACATGAAAGATGAACACTTTCGAGATATCAAGAATATTCAGAGGAATGTGATGAGTGTTCTAAATAGCATCTAAAACTATGGATTTTAAAAAGTATTTTGAAGCTTTGTAGAAAGAAAGAAAATGTGTGAAGTATAATGGGGTCTCTAAAAGATATATAACTATTTATTATCTGAGATGTTTGTGTTTTTTTCATTGTTGTAATCCGGAAATTTTATTGTCAGATCATGTATACTGTCTTATACTCTACTAATGATATTATTTTACTAACATTTTTGTAAATTTCTCAATTTTATTTATGGAATTTCGAACTTTTTTTCTTTTATTTTCTTTATATATTTCTATAATTATAAAATAATTTTTTAAATCAAATTTTTATATATTAATTTTTTAACAATATATCAGAGAACATTTATTCTATATCTTTAATCTTTATATTTTCATCAATTTTTACTACACCTTATTTTACTGATCTGTTTACCTTTCGAAATGCTCGTATTATAAATAATGCTATTATAATAAATAAGACATGATTCACAGACATCTGAAAGCTGCAGTAACATAATACGTCAAGCATCAATCAACTCGATACACGAAGGACACACGCATATTCCACCTGAACACGTGATTCTTCCTCACTTCCCGCACTTAACGCTCAATTAATGTCCTCCGTGAGATTACCCGCGGGAAAGAGACAAGGGGGACGCTAGTCGCCGGAGACATGCACCGCAATCAATGTCGAGAGATGGGGAAAATGAAAACGCCATCGCGGATCGATTACGAGAGCTATCATGCAGGCGTAAAAGGCGTAAACTCGTTTACGTCGCCGATAACGATGCAAGTGATCGACGCGTCTGGTCCCGCAGCCCCATCACGACATACGTCGCGTTGCCGAAATTATTTTCCGAAAATCGTTTAACGGATGTCCCAGATCATTGATATCACTGTCTTTATTATTCTATAAATCTGTTTTCTGTGGCTGGTGTATATACTTCAGGGGAACTTAAGTGAGATAAGTGTACACTGCTCAATTCATAATTTTCTCTCCAATTTTTGAGTTATTTTTAATCATTTCTGTAAGTCACCACTATTTTAATATTATTATAATTAAAATAATTTAAATCAAGAAAATATATTAAATTTTACTCAAATTTAGTTTATTATTTACTAGGTGCATACGTTAATATGAATGTGTTTACTTTGGCACTAATTATAAAAATAGATTAATTTAGGTTTTGAAACATTTGAAAGTAATATATCGAGTTTCTTTGATATCTAACATGTGTACCTATATTCGATATTTAACAAAAGCGAGAAAAAGAGTTCTCAAGTAGTCTAGAGCAGGAATAAAACAGACCTTTTGGGGTAAAGAAACAGACTGTTTCTTAAACGGAAAGGAACGTTCGTGAGCGAACTGTGAAAACGGTGCTGTCCGTCCGAGAGATCACAAGCCTCTCGAAGATGCTCTCGGGATTCGGGTTACAGACCGCGGCGTCCCGTTTATTATGTCACTCGAGACGCGTGCCGCGGGAATTACTTAATCTCTCAGCGTGAGGTCATTCCGCCTGGAAATAGACGGTGACAGTTCGCGGCGAAAGACAGCGTGAGGTGCAGTCGTGCACGTGGTCGTCAAGTCCTCCCACGAAGCGAATGGGGGAAAAGATGGGACGAAAACGCTTATAAATTCATGCAACGCGGCAAGCATCGCATGCTTTTATCGAGCATGCAATGCTAATCCCTAAAATCACCGCAACATACTGTGTTAATATAATATATAATTAGAACATAAAAAATATATATATTAAAGCATCATTAATGTCTTATATTGTTACATCATTACGATAAAAAAATGATTATTTGATAGCAGCGTTTTTTCAGAAAAAAGAATTTAATTATAATAATTTATATAGTTAATAGAATATTAACACATTATTATTTTATAATATATCATTATAATAAAAAAATGATTTTCTAATAATTTGACATTAATATAGAATTATATATATATATATATATAAATTATATAAATATAACTTAACTATTATTGAGAGATTTAATATCATATTATCAGAAAAATTATGTTATCACATAAACTTTAAAAAGTTAAATTTACTCCAAATATCGTCGTTCCTTAACATAAAATGCAATTAATTATCATTAAAAATTTTTCGCTTCTGAAGAAAAAAATTCGTTTCTAGTCTGGAATTGCATTATTAATGATCCATAATCCATTTAAGAATTTCATATTTCATACTTCATGAAGGACTTATTGACAATTAACTTAAGAGGGAGTTAGTTAAGTTTGATCGAAGGTATCCTAGATGAGAAAATCGAGGATCTTATAAGCCCGGTCACCACGTCGTGTTTCGTGGCGGTAAAGAGATAGTGGTGGGCATCGTAGAGATGGAATGCATGTGCAAACACGTATGGGGTGAAGGACTAATATTGTTGTCGCAAGAAGATACGGAGTACGAATTTAACGACCTCACTCCGACGGAGATGTCAAAGTTCAATGAACGCGACGCCATATTAGACGCCTCATCCTAAAAATCGATCGATTCCCAAAAATTTATTCTCTCTCGTTTCATAAAACTCGACACATATCAAAAATCAAACGATCAGAACTTTTCCGGAATGATTTAGGCAATTTAGTTCATCGGAATGACGCTTCTTACGATTTCAAAAGTGGAGCATTCATAATTCAATTTTACATTTAAATATCAACAATTTGGAGTTAGTAATGTCGTTAATTGGATGAAATTTCTCTTAAAAATCGAGACTTAAAGTAACTGTAAATTTGATAAAATATTAATTTTATTATTTTAATAATTTAATAGTAAAACTTAATAAAATAATTATTATTATTTTTAATTATATCTATGAGTCTCTCGTCACTGCCTCTATTTAATATTTTATACTTAATTTGACTAAAATAAAGGAGTTAAATAATTTAAGAAAAAAATATATTAACTTTCAGCATATAATTTATCGACCGATAATTTACGATAATTCACGATAATTTACTACACGCAATGGGTTATCGTGTCCTAAGCTAATTTTCATCATCTTCATAAAATACAGTGTTCCTTTATTAAGGAAAGTACTTCATGAAGTAAGTTCTTCAATGTACAAAAATTGTTAAACAATTCTTACACTATCTTTATGAAGTTTGTGTTTAATTTAAAACAATTACGTATAAATGTCACAATAATTATTATAATACTCCTAGTTTTACGAAGAAAAAAATGTGCAGGACAAATGACCTAATCGTGCGTATCATACGACTAAATTTGACTCATATAAATTTATTATTTACTTGTAAATGCATACGTTAATAAGGACGATGTTTACTTTGAGACTAACCACAAAAATGGATTAATTTACATTTTTACTCAGACGGAAGTTAAAAATAACACAATGTTTAATGCCCAATTTCTCCAACTCTAGAACAACTTTATTCAGGAGGTATCTCCCAGAATACGATGGAGATATCTTCTGAAAAAAGTTATCCGCAATTTAACCGAAAGTGAAGAAATTGGCAGGCATATAGCTCGAAGAACTGGATTGTCACGTCCCATTAATATTTAGTGAAAAATATTTCGCATTAATCATGGAACGTAGGCTAGACACGTCACACGTGCACGAACGCGTAACGTAAAGCTGCGATCACACTAACAATTGCGCGATTGTGACTGACGACTGAGGGATTACTTTTCAACCAATTAGAGCAAAACAGTCACCAATTGCTTTGCTCTAACTGGTTGAAAATCCTCAATCGTCGATTCCCTGATTGCGATCAAACGGCAAATTGTAACGTAAACAAATGCGAAATGTCACAAGTGAATTCTCCACAGTATGTGCAACAGACTTAACTCGCGAGGCAACGAGACTCACATAGGAGGGAAAGAAATTTCCGTCGACAGTTCTCGATTTCGTCGATCCTCTTCGTCATCCAAGTCGGTTGTTAAAAATAGTCAAAGCGGTATCTCATTCATTCATTATAAACGTTCTCTCGCGCTCGAGCGAGATGAAAACGTAACGAAGACCCGACTGTCTACGCGCTAAATTAGCGTGGATATCGATTAGTTGTGCGTTGCGTCGCCGTCCACGTCGCCTCGCGCCAGCTCGCGTCGATCCGCGGAGAAACGTCGATTCCATGCTACGATCGTTCGAAGAGCCGAGAAACGAGAACGGCGCGATTCGGGCGAAAAAGAAAAAGAGATTCCATCATTCCACGCACGCGAGCGAACGTTCCCTCGAGCGGTGCGAAGGCGGTCGCGAAACGAGCGTCGCAGATTTCTCGAGCAACGAACTTTTTTGTTGTTACCTGTCCCACCTGTTACTGGCTCCTCTTCGACTCTTCTGCCGCTTCCTTCCCTTCGCTTGTCGTTTAATCCCTTTCGCGTATTGTCACTACGCTTCCGTTTTCTTTCTCCTCTTTCAGAGAGATACACGGAGATACTTTCCAACGGAGAGCCGCAAACAACTCAGAACTGATCTATAACCGTTCTCGACTCGACATTCACTCGAATCTCTGGCATTCTCTGCTCCGCGTCCCGGCGTGAGTTACGGCGTTCACCCCCCCTCTCTCTCTCTCTCTCTCTTCGTTTCTGTCAATGGGCGTGTTCAGATTCTCATTCGAGTGCTCCCCGGCTGTCATGTCATCCTTGTTTAACATTCGGTATACAATAAGGATAGAAGCAGAGAGAACTAGAGAAGCCAGAGAGCTGCCATGCCCGAGAAACCGGAATTTAGCTGTTACTTTATTTTGAAGCGCCTTTATGTACACGAAATGTGAACATTGAACTATGTAGCTAATGTCCACAATTCCGTTGGTAATGTCCACGAATTTTTTTGGTTCTAATCTTTCTTGGTCCACGATGGTCGCGTTCAGCAGATTCAACCGTTGCGGAGCAAATCCGTGAGCGGTTGCTGCTATTGGATGATCTAAAAGAATACACCAATAACAATGGTCGCGTTCAGCAGATTCAACTATTGCGGAGCAAATCCGTGAACGGTTGCTGCTAGAGACCTAGAAAACAGAGATGCTTTATTGAAGGGTATGGCTTGATTGGCTGTCTAAATCACGTGATCAAAGAACCATTTTAATTCACTATTGCATCTAGATATAGTTTTATAACGTATGTACATATATATATATATATATATATATATA